CTGACCAGCATTATCACAAAGCGTAGGGTAGGATCAAACACCATGCATCACCATTCACAAGCGCTTCCTGATGATTGTCGTCACTTCTGGTTTCCATCCACGTCACTTCAGCGAGTTAGTTCCAATCTGTGGAATGCACGCCAGCTCAGGGACTGCGAGGGGTGATGCATGGTGTTTGATCCTACCCTACACTTTGTAATAGTGCTGGTCAGGCACAATTAAATGTGAGTGCAATTGGTTTTACAGACTATTCCTTTTTTAATTAAATAAATATATAAACCATAGACGTTTTTTTCTATCTGAGTATATGTGTGTCATTTCTCATTGTATTGTTTATTAAAAGATTGTGATGTTACCCACTCCATTTCCTTCTTCTTGCTGAGGGTCACAATTGAGAGGTGTGTAGGCTTACTGGTTATAAGGATCTGGTTAGTTGTTAACCTTACCCCATGTGTTGGATCACTGGATTTGGCCATTGGAATGAATACTCACCATTGTTTTTCGTGAGCTTGGTGCGCGAGTTCTTTGTGGAGGCATTACATGGACACTTTTATGATCTGAATCAGATATGTGTTGACCATTTTTCATAGTTTTTTTGGTATTTAATTTTATTTAGTAGGTCATTAGTATCACTTATTTTAGGAGTAGTGCCTATCTTTAATTGTATTTGGTTTTTATATTTAGTGTTTTTTGCACTAAAGGGGCAGCTTCTCTTGACTCTATTGTAAATATCAGGTTGACATGTCTTTCACGTACATTTTTTTTAAATTCTGACTGCCTATCATATTTTTTGAAGTTCTGATCATGTGACCAATCAGAGTAACTGGCCAGCTATTTAATTTGCACCACACATAATCCTGCCTGCTCTCCAGTGATACCTCTATAGATACTTGATACTGTCATGGCTTGTGACCCTGACAGTGACTCTGTGCCTTCTAATCTGGACTAATTGATTTCACTTTCACTAAGAACTTCAACTAGCCTGATGTTTCTGCACACTGGTCTTCACTTTCTACAGGTATATTCCTAACACTGTCTCACTTTAACCACTTCCCGTCTGGCCCAAGTATATAAACGGCCGGACGATGGCAGTGCAGGGGCGGGTTGCCATTCATAAATGTGCCCACCACTTTGGACTGTGGGCACTCCCTGTATCTTCTGGACACAGCAGAAACACCGATCACTGTACGGGACCTCAGTGTGAGGTCCTGATCATGTGATCACTGACTGGCCAATCAGTGATCACATGAATAGGAGTAAGCAAGATGTCACTTCTGACATCATTGCTTACTACGTGTGAAATCTGTGAATGATCACAGAGATCACATGGTACAAGGCTATTCACAACAGCCTTGTACCATGTGACAAGCTGTGACCAATAACAGCTCACACAGTATCTCTCAATGGCTGCAAAAATGCAGCCAGAGAGAAGGAGAAATTATTGCTTTTACAGCCTTTATGGGTGTAAAAGCAATCAGTGTAAAAAAAAAAAAAACAACTCTTCATCACTCACCCCCCACAACTAGTACAGTGTCACTGTGGTGACACTGTCTGCTAGGGTGACAGTATGTTAAAAAAAAAATAATAATATAAAAAAAATCAAAATGTAAAAACATTTTTTTTAAATTATAATTTTTGGATTATTAATTTGCCAAATATTATAAGAAAAACACTTTTCAAAATTTTTGGACTTTTTCATTTATATAGCAAAAAAAAAAAAAAAAAATCCCAGTGGTGAATAAATACCACCAAAATAAAGTTTTATCTGTCTCAAAAAAATGCTAAAAAAAGTCATATAGGTACAGTGTTGCATGACTGCACAATTGTAATTCAAAGTGTGACAGCACTGAAAGCTGAAAATTGGCCTGGACATGAAGGAGGTAAAAGTGTCAGTGGTTAAGAACAGAGGTTTTTGTGGCATACATATGTAAATATATGTAACATCACTCTAAAACATCAAGACACCTCTAAAAACAGAAAGAAAACAAGCACACAATAGCTAATCCAAGCACATGAGTAGCATTAATGCCTTCTGGTCAGTGTCGCCTTACTCATAGCTATCTGTTAACATATAACACATTATAACACTCTATATCAGAATTTAAAATCCCTCAACCCACCATCCAAGGGGGAGAGATTACAAACACAAAGCTGCATCTTATAATTAAAAAATAAAATGGAATACATAAGAAAACAAACAAAAACAGAAGATTACCAGGCACAAATTACACATTACCCTGCATATACAGTACATATGCATGACAAGATGCCATCTTTATACAACATTATTAACAGCTCAAATGTCAAAATATATAAAAAATCATGACAGATAGAAACTGGCAAAGTTTTAAATTACTTTAAATAAAGGGTGACATCCAATTGGTGATTTACACTGAGTAGTATCCTGGAACATAATCTAAAAAATCCATCCACCACATTTCCCATTCTGGAACCTTTGGAGCCCTCTATTTGAGAAGCCCTCATTTCGACAAGTTCATTTCTCCACATCGCAAAACAGAAAGGAAGACAAGTTTCCTTCATTCACTTCCCTAAAACATTTAGAAACATTTTTGAATGCCCTTGCAATCTGCTTTGAGTGTCAGGGCAAAGTATCCTGCAATCTGGTTACTGTGCGTTTCAAAAAGTAGTGCTTGCAGGAAAAATAAATGGGCTGAAATCACACTACACAGAATTGCACGTGAATCGCATAGGAGCCACATAGTGTTCCTGTGTGATTCTCATGCAGTTTCTAGTGTGAAAGGGCCCTAAGGATATTATATAGTCGCTTATCACTATATAAAACTGGTAAACTTTTGTTAAGGATTCCCTTCACACTCTGAAACTCAGCAGAGAAAGCTGTTACAAAAGTAATCTGTCGATCCACACAGGGCCAGTGCCAGACTCTTTTGTGCCCTAGGCAAGTCGCTGGTCTTGCCTAAGGCACAAAATAGTCTGGCACCGGCCCTGTGTGGATTGACAGATTTAATTTAATATTTTCTACTGATTTTAACATTTTTTATTTATTTATCTTTTTTTAGGGGGAGGCGCAAGTAGCTGTAAAAAGATAGATAGAAAATATTAAATCAACAAAACATGAAACTGCTAAGTTTCTTTTACTTTGCAAAAATAAGTGCCATAAGATGCCACCAGCACCAATATTAAAGACAAAATCAGTGTCACGGATGAACTGTGTCTGTGGCTGGCAGTGGCAGGGTGACAGTTGAGGTGAGTGGAGGATGATGGATCCACACTCTGACTGATCCCAGGCAGGAATTCCCCAGGCAATGGGGGGAGATAAAACAATGTGACAGCAGGCAGCCCAACCCACACACACACAGAGAACACCTGAACTGAGCAATCCCACACAGTGACAGATCCAAAACAACACACCACCACCAACAGGTGGAACTGCCGCAGGGCCTCCTTCTTATACCGTAGAGAAGCAAACATGAAGGACCTCTGAAAGCATGGTCCGTACCAAACAAAAATGTCTGAGTTCCCAACTATGGGATGAGACATTTATAGAAATGCTTACACTGAGAGAGGAAGCTCTCTCCTCCTTAACCCCTTGACGCTGGCGTCACACAAATATGCGGCCTCACAGAACTGGGCTTTTTTCCGTGGGTCCGCATATTTGTGTACCTGTCTTTGTGCAGTGCGCTCCCAGCACAGAGACCGTGGTGTCACTGAGAGCCCCGGGTCCCGTTCTAACGATCAGGACCTGGGACTCCCAATTTCGGGACACATGATCGCTGTGATAGCCTCTGATTGGCTATCACAGTGATCAGTCACTGTACAGCCCGGCCCCCTTGCTTTTTTCTCTCTCTATGAATGGAGAAGAGAGATACATTGTATCTCTATAACTCCTAGCATAGAGAGAAAAAAATATATTTCTAAAAAAAAAAGAAAAGATAAATAAATATAAATAAAGAAAAGAAAAATACCTAGATCAAGGTTTGATCTAGTTCAGTGCCAGGATTAGTGCTTGGGTGAAGGTCAGGGTCAAAGGTTAGGGTCAAAGGTCAGGATTTTTAAAAAAAAATTGGTATCAGTGTCAGTTAGTGTCAGTGTCAGTGTTTTAGGTAAAAAAAAAAAAAAAAATGTGCACTATTGTTTCTGGGCTGTACTACGGGTACAAACAACAAATAACATACACATATATGGTATCGCTGCGATCGTCAGGAGCTGGAGAATTTATTTTGGGTTGTTCTTTGGTGGTAGGTTATGGTCGTAACAAGAAACACACAGCTAAATAAAAAAAAAATTTTTTTTACTATTTTGGGCCAGTTTTCCTTTGATAATAAAAAAAAATCAGGGGCTTTCCATTGCCATTTATCACCAAATGAAAGCCCGATTTGTCCTGAAAAAATCAAGGTATAATCCACCTGGATGCACAAAGTAGTTGTGGTGATATGTACTGTTTTACTATCACATGTCAACGTTGCAGAATTGTGCTTAGGCATTTAGATTTGTTTTACCCTTAGGCATGAAGGGGTTAACCATAAGCCTACAGGGCACTTATACCCCCTTCCTGCCCAGACCAATTTCCAGCTTTCAGCGCTGTCATACTTTGAATAACAATTGCACGGTCATGCAACACTGTACCCATATGAAATTTTATCATTTTTTTGTGACAGATAGAGCTTTATTTTGGTGGTATTTAATCACCTCTGGGTTTTTTATTTTTCTTAAACAAACCAAAAACCTCTAAAAATTTTGAAAAAAAAAGTTTTTTCTTAGTTTTTGTTATAAAATTTTGTAAATAAGTGATTTTTCTCCTTCATCGATGTGCGCTAATGAGGCTGCAGTGATGGGCACTGATAGGCTGCACTGATGGACACTGATAGGTGGCACTGATGGGCATTGGCAGGCATCACTGATGGGCACTGAAAGGCAGCACTGATATATGGCACTGATAGACGGCACTGACTGGCACTGTTAGGTGGCACTGACTGGCACTGTTAGGCGGCACTGACTGGCACTGATAGGCAGCACTGACTGGCACTGATAGGCTGCACTGACTTGCTCTGATAGGTGGCACTGATTGGCAGCACTGATAGGTGGCACTGACTGGCACTGATGGGTGACACTGAAAGGCAGCTCAGCTGGGCACTGATATGTGGCATTGATGTGCACTGGTAGGCACTGATATGTGGCATTGATGTGGCACTGATGGGCACTGGCACGTGGCACTAATGAGCACTGACAGCTGGCACTGATGGACACTGACAGGTGGCACTGCTGGGGCTACACAGATCATCAGGGCACACTGATCATCAGTGCTCTGATGATCAGTGTAGATGTCCCCTCCGCAGAATGCCGATTACCGGCTCTCTTCTCGAGCTGTCAGCGTGACAGCTCGTGAGAAGAGAAATGCCGATAACCGGCATTTGCCTGTTTACATGTGATCAGCTGTGATTGGACACAGCTGATCACATGACCAAGCCGACATCTTCGGCTCTTTCTGCGGATCGGTGATCCGCTGTGTCCTCCCAGAATGAGAGAACCACCTTGCGCCCCTCATTGGACTATATGGCGGGCGGGAGGTGAAATACCAGATGCCCAGCTTTGTTCAAGGCAACAGAAGACTCACAATGTTTTCTGTGCTAAATCAAATAAACCAACAATGGTAGCCACTCAGCTCAATTTAAACCAGCAAAAAGGGAAAGACACACATGGGCTGGGCAATAGCCACATACAATATACTGTATGTGTGATTTTTCTCTAAGCTTTGTTTGGTTTAATTGTCATATTTATATGTTTGAATAGCACACCAGACATCTGCTCTCTTTACACATTTTAGATGTAATGTTTATATACCTATTACTTGCATATTTTATTGATTACTTAAGCATTAGATTTTTCTTCATTTAACTCATTTGGACTTTTCTTACCACCATTCATGCTATGTTTGAAGCCCTTTGTTTGTTAGAAAAAAACAAGAGATTACTGCTGTGCCTTTTAATGCCACAAATACATCTAATATTGATGGGAATAATATCAAGAAATCTCTGTACAAATTAGAATCATTAGTCATAGATGAAATGAGACATTGGTGGGCTGCATTATTACTTAAACAATATCTCAAGAATAATTATACCCCTGGAGGGTTCTCCATTAATAAGAAATCTACCTATGTTGAAATCAATCTTCAAGAACAATGAAAGCCTTTTTCCTGATTCATTGGTATGTTTGATACCAACACTTCAAAGTGCCTAACTAAGAACAGATTAAATCATGATAAAAGTGACAAAGAAAAATCTAGATACCTGGATTATTCTTATTAAATTGCAGTAATATTAATGATGATTTAATATACCAAGTGGGCAGTTGGATATGCCGGATAGGTTTGATTTGACTGCTTTCAGGTATCTCAATCTGTGCATAAAAAATTAAGTTAGACCTGGCAGATTGTGTGTGGTTTACCCTTTGATGCCATTGTGACTAAAACATTTGACAACTGCATACTAATTTCCTGTGAAACCTCTAAATAAGCACAAACAGTAATAAAGTAATTGAGAGTATTAACCCATAGCAAGCAGTCAAAAACCTGTGAGCTCAATCCAAATACAGTATTGACTCAAGGGAACTCATGTCACATGCAGGCTAGCAAAACCCATTGACTTTTAAGACACAGTACAAATGGTAGTTCAGAGACTGCATTTGACTTCCTTTGTATTGCATCAAGTTGCATTTCAACCACAGGTTAAACACAGCCTTTTTCAAATTTCCATTTCAATACAGCTGCATAGGTTTCAATAGAAAATGCAATCCATGAAAAACTCATTAACATCAACCCTAATTCTGGGAGTTATTGATTTCTATACTTTGCAAATCGTTACTGCCACCTTGTTGAAAAAAGGTTTGAGCAACGTGTGAGATTTCAATTGCTTGTTAGAAATGTCGGTTAAGCTGGCCATACATTGTACAATTTCCGTGTTTGATTTCCTTTAGATTTACCTTCAACTATGTAGTGCAAGGGCCTGCCTGATTGCACACAAATTGAAAGAGTTTAGGTTTGACCTTATATTATATTGTTTTGGTAAATCTAAAGGAAAAGTGTACAAGAACATTATATAATGTCTGGCCAGCCTTAGTAAGTATTTCTTGGACATAATTATTTCAGTGGACTGAATTGTTGCATAGGGAAACACCATATTTCTCCTTTTGCACTTAGAAGTGAGGAAAAGTATAGTACAGGGAAGACATTTGTCCCCTGGACCCTGTTCCCTTACAAATGAACGGTCACCCTCCTACTTTATTCTACATTCTCTAACTCACATTTTCAATCTCTCCTTCCCCACTGGCATATTCCTTAACCCTCCAAAGCAAGCACTGGGTCCCATCAGTGTGAACAACCTAAGACCCATCACCTTGATCCCATTTACCTCCAAACTCCTACAACACCTATTCTGCAGTCACCTGAGTTACCACCTGACTGATAATAACCTTTTTATCCCCTTTCAGCCTCGGTCTTTTGCCCACAGTACTCCACAGAATTTGCCAACCTATAAACTACAAATTATTCAATGTGATTAAAACAATGGCCACTACTCTGTACTATTACTCTTAGACTCTTACTCTTTTTCTTCCAATACTATTCTACAGCTCTATAATACTCTCTACTCCTCTCTCCACCTAACAGTCTCCTCATGAATCCCTAACTGAATAACTGACATAGCAGTATGGGTACAATAAAGCATACAAATATTGCCACAAACTATATTCAACTCCGGTGTGAGGCAAATGAAAGATAAGCTTCAGCTCAAATTCCCACTCATTGGGCATGCCCCTCTAGCATGTTTCACCCACAGTTGGCTTAATCGTACAATCACCCACATTGACCTCAACAATTAAGCTCAATGTGGGTCAAATATGTCAGAGGGGCATTGCTGATGGGTGGGGATTTGAGCTGAAGACTGTCTCATTTACTGTACTTCACAGTTGGAGTTGGATACTGTGTGCAACAGTACTTGTATGCTATATTGTATCTTAGAACTAGGTGTGCTCTATCTTTGCCAGCACCTAAGTGTAAACCTGGGAGACTGATACTGTGGGCTTGGAGTTACGGATCTGCTAATATATCAATATTGGTGTCATATCACCTCCATAAACACCATATTTCCAAAACTAAACTCATACTATTTATTTATTGGTAAATTCATACCAGACCCTTATCTGAGCATGCAGCCCGAGGGACCGCTTCATCTCTCGAGACCGCTTGTGCACTAGATAATTGAGGAAGGTACATCATACATCGTTGGAGGCTTAACAAAAAAAGACAAAACTCACTTGATCTTTATCTATAAGACTAGTAAGAAGCATGTTTTGTCTTTTCACTAGGGTACTAGGTATTATTTTAATGTCCACATTTAGTAGAGAAATGACTGAGTATCCTTACGGGTTTGAGGAGCATGATGATGTTGGCCTTTAACAATTCAGATAAAAGCTTTCCCTCCGTTTTGAGATGATTGAACAATTTTGTGATCTAGGGTACCGCAACGTCATAAAATCTTTTTAAAGTACAGTACTAAAAAAAAAACATCTGGACTGGTGAATTTATGAATATTAAGTTCATTAATGGTTTAGAATCCTTCTTCCTCAGTGTTGTCAGCACCCAGCATCTCCCTTTGTTTTTCAGTGATTGTAAGAAAGTCTGTTAAAAAAAGAGATTTTAGCAGGTTAAACTTCATGCAAATTAGTATATACCTGTAGCTTAACTAGGTGGTAGCAAAATTAGTTCAAGATATGAACCAGGTTAGAGACAAAGGAGTTCTCGTCTTGAGAAAGAGAATAGGTAAAAGAGCAAAGAAGCATAGCTTATTGGCTATAACCGTGCCAATCTTGTTACCATTTACATAATATTTTTGTCACATTTAAAGCATACAATCCACCTCTTTGTCCACAAGGCAAAGGTTGAGATCAGTGCGGATTTGTTCAACCCATTTTCTGTTACACGGCATGGAAGATTGTTTAAAGAGTTTAGAGTCTGAGTCTAACTCTTTCTCTGGGCACTCAGTATGAGACAAATGTTCTCTTTCCCAGCAAAACATGTGTTGAATGATGTGACCCCATATAGCTGATTTGTAACTTCCCAGAAGGTTGTATAAGAAGAGAATAAATGTTCATTGAGCTGAAAATATTCCAATTAATAAAGTTTGAGTTATTCCAGGATATGAGAAAAGGAGAGTAGACACCATGAAGATGGATGTAGTTTCGCTAGCAATGAGGTGCATCTGACAAAGATAGGATCAAAATCAAACCAAGGAACTGATAGTATGGAGATTGAGGAAATGGAAGTGAATACCAATGGACGCACAAAGATTAGTCAATTTTCAAATGCCTTGAATGCAGATGTGAAAAATGGATATAGTCCTGGGAGGTTGGGAATAGTTGGACAGGCAGTAGAGGGTACAAAGGAAATGTACAGCTTTGTGAGTCATATTCACATCTGTTAGCACCAATTGTAAACAGTAACATAAAGCGGGGGTCGGCAACCCGACGATCGCAGTCTACCTGATGACCACGGGCAGGTGACAGGTAGACCGCGAACAGGTCCCCCTCCCTTTCCCCCAGCCTTCTCTGCTGCTGTCATTTTCAGTCCAGCTCCTCCTCCCACCCTTCATCCTGAGCCGTGCTCTCTTCCGCTCTCCTCTGTGTACTGAGATGACAGCAGCAGCGGGAGAAGGCTGGGGGAAAGGAGGGGATACGACATTGCTTGGGGGCAGAAGACATTGCTGAGGGGGAGAAGGGGGCCAGACGTCACTGCTATGGGGAAAAGGGGGGGCAGAAGCAGAGGTGGACTGACAACACATGGGGCCCCCGGGTAATAGGGGATCAAGGGGCCCCTGTGTCCTTGCCCAAACTCAAAAAAGCCTATGAAAAAGGTACCAGGGGCATTTCATGGGGCCCCCTACTGACCCCGGGCCCTCGGGCAGTGCCTGAGTTTCCAAATGGTCAGTCCACCCCTGGGCAGAAGACATTGCTGGGGGGAAGAAGGGGGCTAGAGGTCACTGCTATGGGGGAAAGGGGGGGGCAGAAGACATTGCTGGAGGGGGTGGGGAGAAGGGGGTCAGAGGTCACTGCTATAGGGGAAATGGGGGCAGAGGACATTTCTGGGGGGAGGGGGCCAGAGGTCACTGCTATGGGGGAAAGGGGGGGCAGAAGAAATTGCTGGGAGGTGGGAAGAAGGGGGCCAGAGGTCACTGCTGTGGGGGGAAAGGGGGGCAGAAGACATTGCTGGATGAATAAAACTAAATCAAAGAAACAAACTGACGCGAAACCTCAGTGCTGGATGAACACCAAGATGGCACCAGCTCTACCTAGAGATGAGAACATGAGGTAATTTCTGGAGTCAGAAGGCTTGGCAGACAGCCTTTTGTAATTCCCCCTGGCTTTGCAATCTCCTTGCCTGGAACCAGGAACTACCCTCTTGAATAAAATCAATAACATTATTCATGAAGAAACCAAAACAGTTTCTCACAAACTTTCTACTGAATTCTTGAAAGAGCTCAAGCACCTGGATTTGGAGTGCACATTGATGCTAGAGCCAGTTTCTCAACT